CCCCCCCCTCCGTGGTAATGCTTAGGGGAGACTGTAAGACTAGTGTGGGTAGGGAATGGTATTTCCCAGTACACTGTCTTAGGGAATATACTGGAGGCTCGCCCGTGGTCTCTGGCAGCTTGTGTGAAAGGAGCAATGTTGCTCTGAAGCTGTGTGTGGATGTCTGCTTAGCAGCAGCTGGCTGGCCACACAGAGTGGGTTTGGACCACCTCTCCTTCCACCAGCTTTCTGACTTCTCTGAGGGTGTTTGTCAGGCTTCCTAGGCTTCTCACCCTCTCCCTGATCTGACTGAAATAGGCCAACAGATTCGGTAGCTGTTTTGCGGGGGAGGGAAGGGATGATGGTGAGGGAATCAGTGGTATTAGCCTTGTTTCTTAAAGCAGGCTAAAACCTGCACGTGCCATTGGCACCTGTTTCTGTGCCCCTGCCCCCCTTCCCTCGTTGACTTGTCTTAGTTCAGTGAGCTCTTGTGTGTAGCCAGTGTCTTTGTGGCAGCAGTGTCTGTACCTAGTGATGCCCCTGTGAAACTACACTTAAAAACACAACTGTAAATATTGATGCTGACAACTGTTACTGAATCAGTGCTAGGCAGTGAAACTTGGGGGTTTTAGCTCTGTAAATGAGAGGTCTTGGGAATGGATGTTGTACTAGATAGAGCCCGTTTCTCTAGTAACTGTCTCAGTCTTCTAAGGAAGAACACTTTCTGCTAAGAAAGCATATTAAAGGAGACCAAAATCCTTCACTTCTAAAAGTGCAATGAAAAATGGCCCGTTACTGCTTCCAATAACAGCATCTGTACCACAATGGACTGCTATCAGCAAGCACTCCTACTTTAGCTCTGTATTCAGGCAAGGAGAAGGGTGTATATAATAATGGCAAGACTTCATGAGACCAAAGGTCTGTCTAGCACTGTCATCTCCTTGTGGATGTTCAGAGAATAATGCAGGTGTAGAGCAGATGAAGGCAGTGATTTGCAGTGTGGTGTTCTTGCCTCTAGCAGACTGGCTTGGACTTCTGAACTGGAGATTATCTCTAGACTGTTTTCCTTTTAATTGCCTCTTGGGTTCCTCCCACCCCCCAAACATATGTAAGGCTTTTAACAAGCAGTCATCTGTAGGTGACAAGACCATTTTCAAATAAGTACTAGGTGGATTGCTTAGATAGTTGTGGTCATGCTATGTAATAAGTAAAATCTATTAAAGTCTAGAGCCCAAAATTCTGCCTTTCCTACAGGTTTGAAAAGTACAAGTTTGTGGTCTCCACCCAATTGCTGAGAGGGAAGGAGAGGTTGAAGTACCTCCATCTCTGAGTTCCTCCCACACGTTCCTATATGTTGGAGGAACAGGTTTCACCAGATCCTATAAGACCTGCAGTATGGCTTCTAAGTACGATGCTGTTTGGGTGTTGTGTGAGACGGGAGCTTGTCTTGGTCCTAGAAGCCTTGGAACAGAAAGTTGGTCGGTTTGTAGCTGGTAAATCATAGATCTCTAGAAGTAGGAATATAAAAAGAATAACATCTCCTGGTGTGTTTTTTGGTTACAGTGGTGTTGGCAGTGCAAGAAAGAGCTTGCCCAAAGTAAGGGTGTGCTGCCGCTCCACTTGAGCAAGTTGCATGGTGCGTGATACTGCTTCCTTGGCCAGTTCTGGTTTCCAAGGAAGGAAGGATAAGTCTTGAGTGAAAGAGGGCACTTCTAAACTGCTTCCTTCTGCTGTGTTTCATGTCTAGCTACTAAGCTAAAGAAAACTGGTGAATGGCAGTGGGATTTTTCAACTTCACTGCCCGTTTCTGGTATAAGAAATAAAAGAGAAGGGATGAATGGCCAATTCTGAAAATAGAGCTGGACTTAATTCCAGATGCTGTGTAGTAACTTGCTGTTCTTCAGCCAAGAGTTTAAGGCACTGCTTCCTGTTACTACTTTAGTATAAACTGAAGTGGAGATGAAGGTACACCTTGACTGTTAAGGGAACAGGTCTGGCTGTGACTTTGTGTGTAGGTATGAGTATTTTTGTGACATTCTTGTACTTCATTATGTTTTAGAGTAACTTTAACTTTTTATTTCCAGCCACCAAAGTTCTTGGCACAGTCAAGTGGTTCAATGTCAGAAATGGATATGGCTTTATCAACAGGTATGTTTAAATTATGATAGTCCTGTTTATACTGCACTAAGACTCATGGTACAGATAATAGGCCCTGTGTTAGTAATTGCAGCAGAGACCAGAGGATCTGACTGCTAGTTCATGCTGTTGATGGCCGGATTTGGCGAGGCTTTCAACAGAATTGGATATCATCTCCTCTACCCCCTCTCCCTCTTCCTCCAGCGAAGGCTCTGTGTATGGGGAGAAAATGGAAAGGGTCCAACTCATGACAAATTTGGTCTGCTACTTGTTTCTCATGTTAGTTATGCTGCACCTTCAGTGAGCTGTATGGGCTTTCATTGACTGCCTGTCTTTTTTTAGAGGTGCAAGTAAGGTTAGAGGATGAGGGGAAATAGTTCTGGACAAAAAATACAAATGTTAACTGTTTGGTCAAAATACCTACTCTAAATACACATTGAGGTTTGCTGATATCATCCAACTGAAGATAATGCAGGCCTGGGTTCACAGAAATTATATCTTTTCTTCATGTTTAGAGGAGAAGAAAAAAGCCTGAATGGTATTGATAAGCCAAATAGCTTTAGGTTTTATACCTTATATTGATCACACTCCAACCTTAGGTGGACAAGACCCACCCTTAAAAGTTACTGGAGGAAACTGTCTTTAAGGACTTGGAATATCTGTGGGGTTGAGGGGCTTAAATGTCTTGGGTGCTTTATGAGAAATGAGGCTCCTGCGTGGTGAATGCTTGTCTTGCAGAAGACAGGCAAGTTATTTTGTCCTGCAAGTCCTTGAACTGTTACACAAAAGGTAGACTTGGATAGTGTAGAAAGGGGCAGAAGAACCCCGTTTCATGGATCTAAAGCCAGTTCTGCTACAGTATGAATCTCAGTCTCTGGAGACTACTATCCAGTGTTATGTAAGCTTAGAAGAAAAGCTTGACTTAGGAAGCACTCTTAAAGTCCTTCATAGCAGTTGATATGAGAGTCTTCAGCTGGGATAACTTGTGAGTTTTCTCGCTAAACTGAAGTCTACTATTACTTCAGTCCAGTGCAGCAAGTTTTGGATTATGTATTATCTTCCCAAACTCTTTGACCCACCTGTTCCCTCTGCAGAGAAGGAATTGAGTGAACAGGCAGCAGGGTCTAGGCTCTTTCTGGGTGTATGGGAACACACAGAATCAAGATCTCAGAACTGTTTTTGTTTTGCATGTGGAAGCTTGAACTGGCTGGCCTAATCCAAGCAACTTTGTCTGGGTCCCCCTCTAATGGACTCCCCTAACACCTCCTGTGCATGATTGCTTTGAGTTTCACTGAAAGGAGAGCTCTATTAACAGCTGTGGCCAGTCCTGTTGATAGTCTGGCTTGACCTCTGGGATAACAGCTCAGGTTGCAGCCCCTGTGGAAGGCTTTTTTTTTTTTTTTTTTTTTTTTTTTTT